CAAAAATAATAAATAACAGAAAAGCACTTCAGTAGTTCAGTTCCCACTCCCGGAGCCCTCTCCCCCACCAGGTGTCTGCCTGACTTCTTCCCTTCTTGCCATCTTCCGTGAAGACTTCCTTCATCGCTGTAGCTGGAGATCCCTTGAGACGAGGTCCGGGAATCACTAAGCAGGACTCACAGAGCTCAGAAAATCTCCTCTACCCAGGATGTTGGTTTATTCCAGAGAGAAAAATGGCACACGCGGCCAAGTCCAGGACTGACCAGGCATGAGCTTCCAACTGCCCTCTCCCGTGGAGTCGTATGGACAGTGCTTCCGTTGCCCAACAACCCTGTGTGACAACATGTACAGGGTATGGCCCCCCAGGAAAGCCCACCTGAGCCTGTGGTTTTTATTGGGTGTTGGTCACATAGGCACATGGCTGTCTGCCTGCACCGCTAGCTTTAGTCTTCAGCTCCTCCGCAGGTCCAACATGCCCCCAGACCTCCACCACGAATCCCCTCATTAAGATAGACTATCTGATGTGGCCCAAGGCCCCCGGGTAAAGAAAGACACTGTTATTAGGCGGAATATTCCAAGGGTTTACAGATTTTCTCCTAGAGACTGGGCAAGGGCCAAACTTTTCTTTGTAAGGTAAACAACAGTCCTGCTGAATTAACCACTCAATGCACGACCTGCTTACAATTATAACCTTCCTCTGACGTTCTCTGCATTCTCTATCCCCTCACTCTGCCTTGAAAGTGAAAGTGTTAGTGGCTCCGTTGTGTCCAAGTCTTTGCGATCCCATGGACTGTAGCCCGCCAGGCTCCTCTGTCCGTGGAATTCTCCAGGCAAAAACACTGGAGTGGGCTGCCCTTTACTTCTCCAGGGGATCTTCCTGACACAGGTTTGGAACCCATGTCTCCCGCATTGCGAGCAGATTCTTAACTCTCTGAATATTTGCTGGATGAGTGAATGAGCTGCAGGCATTTTTGAGGGTGTGGTGAGATATGAATCCTTCTTATCTGAGCAAAAGCTTGCCAGTACTTGGTGAAATTGATTAAGAGTAAGACTTTTGGTCCAGCGATCCCGCTTTTGTGAGTATTCCAGAGAAGCCTTCTGTAGATTATACAAGGGGCCTGCCCCACAGTGGTCATTGCACTATTGCCTGGATGTCCATCACTGGGGAACTGGGTCATTAAATATGGTGGGTGTATACCATGAGTGGTGCTCCTCAAGTTAATAAGCATTGAATCCCCTGGATTGCAGGGGTTGGGGGTGGGTTGGTGGCTCGGGCAGGGGATCTTGTTATAATGCAGATTCTGGTTCAGTTGGTCTGGGATGGAGTCCGAGACCAATATTAATTTTTCAACATTAATTTATTTTTAGCTGTGCTGGGTCTCCGTTGCTGAGAGGGCTTTTCTCTAGTTGCAGCCGAGTGGAGGCTCCTCTTCGTTTTGGTGCCCGTGCTTCTCACTGCGGTGGCTTCTCTCGTTGCCTAGCACAGGCTCTAGGCGCACGGACTTCAGTAGTTGTGGTGCACGGGCTTAACTGCCCCCAGCATGGGGAATCTTCCCGGACCAGGGATCAAACCTGTGTCCCTTGCATCAGCAGGCGGATTCTTATCCGCTGCACCCCCAGGGAACTCCTGACTCACAATGTTAAAACTTATGCTGCCTTTGCAGTTTTTGTGAAGTGTTGACTCTGTCCTCCCCCAGCAGTCTGATGAGCTGTAGCAGCTGGGCAGTTCCCAGGCTGCCCCCTCAGAACTCTCTGATCCTCGGTTGCCCCCCACGGCCGAGCAGATGGACACATGTGGCCACGCAGGCTTCCACTGTATCTGATTCTGCAAGCACAGAACCTCGAGAAGATGGAGATGGAATCGGGAAGGGCTGCCCAGATGCTTGGGGCTTTCCAGGTGGCACTAGTGGTAAAGAACCCGCCTGCTAAATCAGGAGACAGAAGAGACACGGGTTTGATCCCTGGATCAGGAAGATCCCCTGGAGGAGGGCATGGCAACCCACTCTGGTATTCTTGCCTGGAGAATCCCATGGACAGAGGAGCCTGGCAGGCCACAGTCCATGGGGTCGCAAAGAGTCAAACACGACTGAAGTGACTTGGTACACATAGATGTCCAGATGCTCACCGTTACAGACATAACGTGACAGATATAAATAGCCTTGAAGCATAGATATCAGCAATGATAATTAGGAATTGATGAGTTTTGAGTATTGACTTTTCAAAAGTGTACATTATTTAATTGTGAGTTTCTGTAATTTAATTTTCTTTTATGGTTGTGTTGAGCAACCGGCACTCCAAATCCCTGAAAATTTGCCAAGAGGCTCTTATGGGCTGGTATGAGCTGGCTCTGGCGTGCATACAAGGCCTGCCACCAAGCCCAGGTTTAATGACCTTTTTATTCCTAGCGACTCTCTACCTTTAAATGATGTTTACTGTTTCTTGTCTGGCACCTCCTGCTAGGATGTAAGCTCTGTGATGAGAAGCATTTACATTTGTCTGGCTTGTTCGTGGGCCTACTTCCAGTACCTAGGAACCATGCCCGGTGCATAGTAGGTGCCCAGTAAATAGCGGTTCTTGAACGAAAATAAGAAAGAGAATGAGATTCAAAACACAACGATGTTGTACAAATTAGAAGCAACACGATAAGACAACCAGTGTGGGCCAAGGAGGCACATTATTGCAGGCCCAGGTGGGCTGGTGCCTGTGGAGAGGAGGGTATCCGGAGTCAGGGAGTGACAAGTAGAAATAAGTAAATGAGTTCAGGACCTGAACTCAAGGGTGTGATTAACTCAAGTCTCCTCACCTAACCGCTGATGAGGAAAAGGAGGACCTCTCCATTTGCACCGTGTTTTCCCAGGAAACAAGGTTGGGCTTTGCCCTGCCGGTCTTGGGCCTGGCAGTCCCTACTCACAGGACCCTGAGAAGAGGCTGGGGGAGGGGTGGTCCTGCTCGGGGGCCACACGGCAAGGCTGGGGTGTTTTCTTCCACCACACCAGGTACGGTGGATGGCGAGGGGGCGGACCCCCAGGGGACACCATGCGCCTCAGGACACGGCTCCTGGCTGGCCGTGATCAGACCGCTATGCCTGTCTGTTGAGTGCGTTAGATGAATGGGTGAATGGAATTTAAGATTGTTAAAAAACTTTCTTTAAGCTTTTTATTTTGTATTGGGGTACAGCCGGTTAGGGCTTCCCTGGTGGCTCAGCGAGTAAAGAATCCGCCTGCCAATGCAGGAGACTCGGGTTCGATCCCTGGGTAGGGAAGATTCCCTGGAGGAGAAATAGCAACCCACTGCAGTATTCTTGCCTGGAGAATCCTCCTCCCCTGGACAGAGGAGCCTGGCAGGCTACAGTCCAAAGGATGTCAAAGAATCGGACACAACTGAGCGGCTGAGCACGCAGGCAGAGCCGATTAACAAACAACGTTGTGATAATTTCAGGCGAACAGTGAAGGGACTCAGCCTCACTATACACATGTATCCTTTCTCTCCCAAACACCCTTCCCATCCAGGCTGCCACATAATATTGAGCAGAGTCCTCTGTGATATACAGTAGGTCCTTGTTGTAGGACTGTTAAAATTTTATTGATGGTATTTGTCTGGCTTTTAGAGACATTGAGAGCTTTGAAAAATTGTCCTCTTTGGAATAAGGTGCCAGTTCAATGCCTTTGTGTTCATGCGCCTGCTCTGGTGTCTCAGGGGTACCCTGGATAATGATGGCGAGGGTGTAGGGGTGCAGTGAGAAGCCCTGAAGGAACTGCTCTGGGAGAGGGGAGTTCTGAGCCAGGGGTCAGCATCAGGATGCTGGGGGTCCGAGGGAGGGGGTGCTGGGGGCTGGGTCTTGAGTGGGAGGGGCAGGGTCTTGGGGAGCCTGTGGGCAGGTGAGGTTCTGTCCTGCCGGCTACGATCTGCTCCGCATGGTTTCCTGGATCCAGGTGTGGTATTTGCACAGGTTGGTGTAGACGCCGGGGTAACTGGGCTGGGCACAGTGCTCTATCCCCCAGGACACGAGACCCTGGAGCTGCCCTCCGCACACCAGGGGTCCCCCGGAGTCACCCTGACGGGGAGAGGCGGAGACCGAGACATCCGTGGACCAACGGCCAGAGCCCCGGCCGCGGGGAGCCGGAGAGGCAAAGATGTGGGGGGTGGCTGAGACCCACCCCACTGCCCGGGCAGGGCCTCTGGAGGTCTCAGCTCCTGGGGCGTGGGGTCCCTTGTCCTGTGTGTCTCTTGGGCTCCTCTTCATCTAAGCTCTGCGTCTAGAAAACTGCATGTGTGTTTCCACACCGTGTGACTCTGGAGCCGTTGCTCGGGGATGGATTAAGACCTCCAGACCCTGAGCAAGCTTTCCAGGGGCCCACATGTAATGATGGCAATGACTGCGGTGGTCGGAGCTCTGCACTCTTGCCATGGACGAGCTCATCCCATTCCACCCTGTCCAGCTGCCCCCATGGGACAGGTGAGGAAAGCGAAGCCAGGAAGGTTACGTCCATACCCAAGGGTGAACAGCTAGGAGACAGCCTGGCTGTGACAACCTCTCTTGGTCTCTGGGGGTGGGAGGGGGCCTCCCCTGATCTTCCTGCTCCTGAGGTCCTCTCATACCTAAGTCTCAGCCTGGAACAAGCTCCCCGCCCAGGCTTTCTCCCTGGGGCTCACCTGACAAGAGTCCTTCCCGCCTTGGGGGACCCCTGCACAGACCATGCCCGGGGTGATGGCTCCAGAGTAGGCCCGCCGACACTCCTCATCTGAGAAGATGTTGATGTTCACGCATTGCAGAGAGTTGGGGTACCTGGCTGAGAGGGGGTGGCATTGAGGTGTTAAAATGAGGTCTACTCTCCAAAAGGACCCAGAAGTTTGGGCCTGAGACCCTCCTCCCTCAGACCCGGGACTCAGCCCCCCAGCCCCTCCGCCCTCAGACCCAGGGGTCCAGGTCCCCAGCCCCTCCTCCCTCAGACCCAGGGGTCTAGCCCACAGCCCCTCGTTCCCGATGCAGGACCCCTCACCAACAGGACTGGAGATGGTTCCCCAGCCTGACACAAGGCAGGAGGAGCCCACGCCGGCGCAGGAGCGGGCCACGGAGATGGGCCGCACCCCCCGCCCCAGCCGAGCGGGCCGCTCCAGCCGCAGCAGCATCAGGTCGTTGTCGTTGGTCCGAGAGTTGTACTGGGGGTGCGGCACCTGGTGGGCCACGCGCAGCACCTGCTGTGTGGCCTCCCAGACCTTCAGGTTGTGCTTGCCCAGGGCGACTTGAAGGATCCTGGCCCGCGACCCCCAAGAGTGGTGCTGCTCAGGATGTGAGCTGAGACCCCGCCCCACCATCCAGCGATGCTCACGCTCCCAGGGATGAGTTTTCCTCCAGGCTGACCCTCCCGTGGGCTTCCCAGGTGGCTCAGCGGTAAAGAATCACCCTGCTGATGCAGGAGACACCAGAGACGCGGGCTCCATCCCTAGGTCGGGAAGATCCCCTGGAGGAGGGCGTGGCAACCCACTCCAGTATCGTCGTCTGGAGAATCCCCATGGACAGAGGGGCCTGGCGGGCTACTGTCCAGGTTCACAAAGAGTTGGACATGGCTGAGCACACACACACACACACACACATAACCCTCCCTCTAATTGCAGGCAGAGTGTTTCCTGGAATCTTGGACCCTTTCCCCCGGCCTGGACACTCTTTCTGGGCCCAGTCTTATATCCTCCCCTTCCACTGGTGGGCTGTGCTCTGCCTTCTGAGGTTTGCGGGTTGCAGGCTCTGCCCTAGGGTATGTGCCTGGGTCAAGACTCTGTGTTCTAAAGTGAGGCTCTGAGCTGTGGCTCTAGGCTGGAAATCAAATTGCTCTTGTGGAGTAGGCACCAGGGAGGCTCCATTGCAGTTCCAGCCTGGCCTTTGGGCTCTCGACACCCTAAACTTTTGACTCGAAGCTTGGAGTTGTGTTCTAGATTAAATCTAGATGCTAGCATACTTTCTAGATACTGGTGTGAGCTCCAGGTTCTAGGTTGAGTTCTGGGTTCTTGATGAAGCCCTGGTTTATGACGTGGGTTGGAGACAGTGACTTGAGCTCTGTGGTCCAGCTGGCCTCAGGGTTCTAAACATTAGCCTGCTTTCTTGATATTAGGTTGGGTTCTGCTTTAGATCAAATTACAGGTGATAATCTGTGGATTCTTGGTTCAAGATTCTGATCTGAGCCTTTGACCTCAAGTTGGGCTCTAGGTTCTAGAAGGAGCTCCAGACTATGGTCAGGATCCCAGGTTCTAGATGTTGCTTTCCATTCTGGGCTTTATGTTCTAGACTCTGGGCCCTCAGTTCTACACTGAACTTCAGTTTATGGCGTTAAATCTGGTTTGTGAGCACTGGGTGAGCTTTTGTCTGGACTTTGATTTCTAGTGTGGGGTCCAAGTTTAGGTCTAGAAGCTGGGAAGGGCCCTGGGCTCTCTATGAAGCTTTAGATTATGGTCTTCATTCTGGGATGGAGAGAACAGGTTGAGGTCTGGGTTTTAGACTCTTCAAAGAAGAGCTGTAGACTAGACTCTGGATTACATGTTGGATCTAGAACAAGTCCCAGGTTCTGTCTTTACCCCATGCTCTGAGCTGCAAGCAGGTTTCCAGATTCATGGCTGGACGGTGGGTTCTGAACCTGACTCTGGATCCCAGGCAGTGTTCTGAGAGGGGTCCTGGGTGTCTGAAGGTAGCTGTGTCCCGAATTCAACCACCACTCCCAATCTTAGTCTCTATGTGGAGATTGGCCTCTGGATGGATGTCAGGTTTTGTGTTAGGTTCTAGATTCTGTGCAGGACTCTAAGCTGGTGTATGGGTTCTAACCGGCTTCCCAGGTGGCTCAGTGGTAAAGAATTCATCTGCCAAAGTATGAGATGCAGGTTCGATCCCTGGGTCGGGAAGATCCCCTGGAGGAGGAAACGGCAACCCACTCCAGTAGTCTTGCCTAAAAAAACCCAACAGAGCAGCCTGTTGGGTTACCGTCCACAGAGACCCGAAGTGTCAGACACGACTGAACGACTAAGCACATGAGCATGGTTTCTAAGCAGTTGATCTGCTTTTAGAATCTAAAATCAGATTCTAGATTCATGGCTGGGTTCCATGTTCTGGGTCTGTGGTTCTAGGCTCTTATCTAGACCCCAAACAAACCCAGCTAGCACCCTGGATTGTACACAGGGCTAGACTCTGGAATTCACTTGGCAGAAGAATCAGGAAGGGACCACTCACGGGCGGGCGCAGTGAGCAGCGGTGATGACCCACTGGTCGGACAGCAGGGACCCTCCACAGAGGAAACGATGCAGCGGGCCTTGCAGGAGGGCTGCCTGCCACGGTTGGGAGCTCTGGGTGCAAGTGTAGCCACCAATTATCTTGTTCTCATTCCCTTGGTTCTGGGCCACGGCTAGGAGAAGGCAAGGGTGAGCTGGAGTGGGGGGAGCAGGTAAACAAAGGCTCTCCACCCAACCCCTAGCTCTCAAGGATGTCCGGAACCCACAAGTCCCCCCTGTGTTGCCTAATCCTTAACCCATCCATCTTTATGTACCCCCACCCTGCATGAGATATGCCCAACAGTGCCCCCAGTATTGTCCCGACACGACCAGGGAGTTTTCTGACACCCCCTCACCCCCAGGCACCCCCATAGCACCTATTATGAGGTCCCAGAACCACCTCATCCATGGTCCTGACACTACCACCCCTGACTCAGCTTTCCTATGCATGCTTTCTACGATTACTTTATGCAATACGCCACAGCTCCGCTCAGCTATCCTCCAGCACCGTTGGGGAGCTCCCTGTCCCTTCCCCAGACTTCTCGCTCTGTGTGTGGTCCCCCAGGATCACACAGGGCCCCCAGGTTCGCCCCCTCCATACACCCACTCTTCATGCCACACCACTTCCCCGCCAGGAGCCCACCACCCCATCATCATTTCTGCCGTCACTTCTGATTAGTTCTTCCCTAACACAATCAACAGGGCTTCAGTGGTAAAGAATCTGCCTGCCATTTAAGAGACAAGGGTTCAATCCCTGTGTTGGGAAGATCCCCTGGAGGAGGAAATGGCAACCCAGTCTAGTATTCTTGCCTGGGAAATCCCATGGACAGAGGAGCCTGGTGGGCTACAGTCCAGGGGTCACAAAGAGGCGGACACGGCTGAGCGAGTAGACAACAGTGCAGTCAGCAAGTGTCCTGCTGGTACTTTCTCATAAGACTCGGTCAGGACCTGACTGTTCTGCTCAGTTCCTCCCTTGATTTCTCACTATCTCTTGATGTTGTTCAGTTGCTCAGTCATGTCCGACTCTTCACCATCTCCTACAAGTCCCTGGACCCTGCGATATTCTAACACCACCACTTAGAACCTGGGCCTTCCTCTAGCACGCTCCTCAACCACAGTCCCCAGACTATCCCCCACCCCTTCTTGCCAGGTGAGCATCTCAGGTCCCCAGGGCCCTTCCCCATCTCCCCGTCCCTCCTCAGAGTTCAGCCCCCCGCCCACCCACTGTCTTACCTACAGCCAAGATCTGAAGGGCCATCAGCAGGAGGAACATTCTGAGGGCTGGCGGCTGGATTCTGGCAAATGCAGAGAGAAAGTGAGGGTCAAGGAAGCTGCAAGAGACCTAGAGGTCATGGGTCAGAGAGGCTCTTAGAGACTGAGACGCTTAGGGACCTGGTTGGGGGACAGAAGAGAGGCCAGAGACCAGGAGGGCGGGGCCTGGGGCAGGGGGTGCTCCTTGGTGGCTGGAGAGGATGCTGAGAAGGGCTCAGGGCTTGCCTTGATGTCTCCTGTCTGGTGGAGTGGGGGTGGCGTCTGCCTTCCTTGTCACTCGCCGAGGCCTTTTATCCCTGGTCTGAGTAGCTGGCCCTGCTCCTTCCTCCACCCTTCTGAGGTTTTTTTTTTCCTTTTTTTTTTTTTATTGCCTATTTCCCACTCCAGGATCCCCATCCCATCTCCTCCCATCTCCTCTCTGGCCAGAGAAGCAGCCACAATTGTTCATGAGAACCTGCCTACCTGGCAGGGGAAGGTGTCATAATCTGGGAGGAACCCAGGGAGGGGGGAAGTCCTGGGCAGGGTGGACAAGTGGGGTGGGGGGGGGACTTGGGGGAAGGTGCTGGGAGGGGCCGGGAGAGGGAGGGACAGGGGCAGAGAGAGAGAGAGGCTGCCCCAGGAGCAGAGTGAGGCGAGGAAATGTGAGAGAAATAGCAACAGGAAGGCAGAGGGCGAGGGAGAGGAATACGGGCCAGAGAGACCTGGGAGAGGTGGGGAGACTTTAGGGAGATGGAGACTAGAGATCAGGAAGGAGGAGGCAGACAGAAAAAGGCAGGATGGGTGGGGGCGGGGCGCAGCGACAGGGATTCACGGAGAGATGAGTGTGGGAAAATGAGAGACAGAAGCAGAGAAACAGAAGGAAGGAGGGGAAGACAGAATCAACACAGGCAGAGAGAAGGAGGAAAAAGCACATAGAGACACAAGCAGCAGAGGTGCCCCACCCCCCCACACACGTGAGGGATGGCAGCGGAGAGGATGGGGGAGGCCCAGAGATGGCGAGGAAGGGTGTGGAGATCCGACAAGAGACCGGGCAGAGGACGGGGGAGAGGGAGATGGAGTGGAGGTCACGGAGGGCCCTTGAGAAAGAGGGGCGACGGGGAGACAGAGATGAGAGGTGACAGCGCAGAGGAACAGAGAGGGGCTGGGAGTGGGGCTGGGGGCTGGCAGGAGACGGGAGGAGCTGGGGGCACCAAGGTTCTAGGCGGCCTGTCTCCCACACGTTCTCATCCTGTGGTCCTCGTGGCCCTGAAAGGTGGGGGAGCAGGGGCCCCGGCAAGGAGTGGGGAAGGGAGGGTCAGGGCAGAACTGGTGCCCCCCAACTCAGGCTCTGCAGAGAGGTCAGGGGAGAGTGGGATAGAAGGACCCAGAGAGAAGGGGACAGAGACCCAGGGAGAGCAGGAGAGATGGAGTGATGAGATGGGGAATGGGCCTGGGTTTGGGGGACCCATCCTAACTTTTGGGCAGGGCCCTGCCACCCTCAGCCCCTCCCCCAGCCTCTTAAATTCCCTAATGACGGCAGTGTGTCTCAGGGCAGTCTGGACCACCTCACGGTGACTCAGGAGGTCAGCTGTCTGCACTCTCCCCGCCGCCCCCCAGTACCCCCAGTCCCCCCACCCCAACCCTGGGGGTCTGGCTCCCAAACCACTTTCCTCCCCTCTCCACCTGGACTGCTGCTCCCCCGCCCCCCTGCAGAGGCGCTCAGTGCCCCCTTCAACTGGCTCTGCAGAGAGGCCACACTGCTTCGGGCTGAAAACCTTGGTTCAAGCCTTGGTAGACCAGAAGGGTGAGATGCACAAACTAGAAGCCCTTCCGCCAAGAAAGAATTCTCTGGAGACAAGGCGGGGGTGGGGAGGGGTGGGGGGTGGGGGGTGGAACAGGCAGCTGCTCTGTGAGGGCTCAGATGCTGTAGTGGGTTTTGCTGTTGCTTTGGCATGCAGAATCTTAGTTCCTTGACCAGGGATTGAACCGCTGTCCCCCGTGCATTGAGAGCACGGAGGTTTTTTGTTTTTTTATTTTAATTTCATTTAATGTTTTACATTCCATTTTATAATTTATTTTTAATGGGAGGATAATTGCTTTCCAGTGTCAGTTTCTGCCTGTATAACGACGTGAATCAGCCTTATGTATGAATGTGTCCTCTCTCCCGAGCTTCCCTCCCGCCCCCGTCCCACCCCTCCAGGTCATCACAGAGCACTGGGTTGAGCTCCCTGAGCTATAAAGCAGCTTCCCACTGGCTATTTCACACGTGTGCGCAGTCGTCTCTGACTCTTTGCGGCCCCAGGGACTGTAGCTCACCAGGCTCCTCTGGCCTCGACCTTCTCCAGGCAAGAATACCGGAGCGGGTTGCTGTGCCCTCCTGCAGGGAATCTTCCCAGCCCAGGGATCGAACCCCTGTCCCCAGCATTTGCAGGCGGATTCTTCATTGCTGTACTGCCAGGGAGGCCCCAGAAGGCTGTAATTTGGACTCACAGGGATCCTCTGCTGAGCTGGAAGATAAACCCGAGATCTCCTCTTCCCAGAAAGAATACGCAGCTTAAGTAGAAGGCCTGTGAGACCCAGGGAGCCCAGGAAAAACGTGCTGGGGACGTGGTCACAGAGGGCTCAGCTCACTGCCTTATCTCCCCACCCCAGCCCTGAGCCCCCTCAGCATCACTGCTGGGTTATCTGTCCCCTTCCAGCCACACTCCGTTCTGGGCTGCCCTGCTCCCACTCCACCCATTATGGGGGTCTTCAAAAAATATCTGATGAATGAATGAATGGACACATGGCCACAATCCTTTCCTTCCAGGAGCTCACTGTCTGGCAGGAGAGGCCAAAGAGGCAATGGGGGAAACTCAGTCCAGTGTGACGCGTGTTCTGATTGGATGGAGGGGACTACTGAAGGTTCTGATGAAGCCTCGGGAGTGGGGAACGGGCTCCCAGAGGGTGGGCTTTCTAAGTCGGGCCCTGCGGATGAGCTCACCAGGGGCACGGACGCAGTGAGGAGAGCAGCTCTGAGTATGGCTCTTCAGACGGGAGGACGGGGCAGAGCTCAGAGTGCTAGGGGGAGAAGGGATCCCCCAGTGATTCTCAGCGGGGGAGCGAAGCGCCCTTAGGGCCGTCACTGCAGACCTGGGCTGCCTCTGAGGGGAGCTGTCTGGTTAGAGACAGTGGTGGGGTGTCACTAGCACCGATGGAAGGTGCTGGAAACCGGAGCGCTGCGGCACTCACGTGAAGTGATTGAATAGAATGAAAAGACCTGGGGCGTCTGCTCTGGACCCCAAGGAAGACCCCCAGCTTAGGGGTCAGGGGGCTGAGAAGGAGAAATGGAAGAGCTAAGAAGGAAACCAGGAGATGGTGGCGTCAGGGAAACGGAGATGAATTTTAAGAAGAGAGTGGTGCCGGGAGTCAACACATGAGACCCTACCCCTAACAAGGCCGTAAGGGAGAAAACCTGACGGGCAAGGGATTTCGAAAAGGCCAGCTCATGAGATCCCACCCATGACAAGGTCACGAGGACAAAGCCTGGCAGGCAAGGCAGATCAGGTTTTCAGGGATTTCAAAAAGCTGCCCCCGGCTCTCACCTTAAAGATGATATCTGTCTTTCTGAGGCCTGCCTCAATGGACTCTGACACAGGCAGGAAGGCCTTCCCCGATCTCTTCCCAAATAAGAATTAATTTAGAACTTTAATCAATAAGTTTCCCAGGTGGTGGTATTTTATGAGATTATTCAGGGTGAAAGGAGTGTTTTAATTCAAACTCCTTTGCTGGTAGTTTGTTAGCCAAATGCATTTATGCCCTTGGTACTAATTTGCATGATTGCTTATAATATCCTAATCATAAAATAGCATAAAGAGCCTGATTATATAAAAGCCCTAATAGACATAGAGCCTTTTTAAGGGGTAAAGGAGTCCTATTAGAAAACATAAGAAAAATTATTCTATAGGTGGTTATTGGGTTGAGATTCGCTTGCTGTGTTTTTGCTCTTAATGTGCTAAGGCTGTGTTATAGAAACCATTGTTAATATAGTTAAAGATCTAGAGAAATAAGGACTTAGCCCTAGTGTGGTAACAATGAGATGGTTGTTAATTGTCAGTCAGGAGTGCTAGGCAGAAGCTGCCTCACCAAAGTCACAGAGTCAGTGTGGGGTAAACTTTTTAGATAATCACAACTGACAACTTCTGCAGAAGGATTAATTTTTGTGTTAACAAGGTTATACTTCTACTCTGTACTGTTGCCCTATGAGACTGCTACCTTTCAGTTAAAGTCACCAGAAAAACAGAAAATAGGTTTACATTCACCTGACCTCCATAAAATGTTAATAGGCCCCAAGGCCAGAAGATAATGTACAAGACCCTCATAAACAAAGAAGTATGCAGAAAACACCCTGGTTTTGTGAAGGACAAGCTGAGGTAATGTTAAACTATCTTCCCCTTAGAAACGTACTAACTTAGGGTATAAAAGCTATGGTAAAAAATAAAGGATTGCCAGACTCTGCCAGACTCTGCACCCCCCGTCTGGTCACTCTCTCTCTCTCTCTCCCTCGCAGACTTGGCCCTATCAAGGCTGGTCTCACGTGTCTTCTCTCTCTCTCGCCGACGCCGTTCATCCTGAGGGTACCCCCTGGATCCTGTCGAGGCTGGACCCCGGCAGAGTGGCACGAAGGTTGGACCCAGTGAGGTGGCCACTGGCACTGGGGGCTTTTTCTGTTTCTTGTTTTTTCTTCTGGGCTCGTGGCATGTGGCATCTTACTTCCCTGGCCAGGACTGCACCCGGGTGCCCTGCAGTGGAAGGTAGATTCTCAACGCACGGATCACCAGGGAAGTCCTCATTCACAGCATTGAGTGTACAGTCCAGTGGCAAGAAATACTTTCACTTGGTTGTGCAACCATTACCGTCATCTGTCTCCAAAACCTTTTCATCTCCTCTGACTGCAGGTCTGTCCCCATGAAACACCAGCTTCCCATCCTCCCTGCCCCAGGCCCTGGTAGACTCCATTCTACTTTCTGTGTCTTTGAATTT